CATACATACAAACATACAAACAAACATACATGCATACATACAAACAAACATACATACAAACAAAGTCACTCTTCCGCGAAAAAGTTGAAAAATATGCCGTGATGTGGGTCGAAACATGTTGATTGAAACGACAGCTGTGATGGTGATGATTATGTTAATTACATTGATGCTGCTGATGAAGCTGCGATAAATGACGAGGAAGAAGAGGAGGAGGAAGAAGAAGAAGAAGAAGAAGAAGATGCTAATGGTGATAGTTATAATCATGTTGATAATGACAATGCGATAATACTAATAATGTCGTTGATAGTATGGATGAAAGAGACATGTTCCGAAAACGACTTAAACATCACTTTTTTGACCGGCAGCTTCTCGAACAGCGCCTCTGAGTTTTACATAGAGGGGCGCTATATAAATTCTCCATACCATACCATACCATTAATAAACGAATAATAATAATCAAAATCATCAACATCATCACCATCATCATTACCATCATCATCACCATCTTCATCATTGTCACTCCGGCTGGTCGTTGGACTAGGCAATCAAATTTTTTTACATGGAACGTAATTGATTTAGTACATCATTTAGTAAGCATGGCATGATCATCATGTTGATGACGTCAACGATGACGTAATTATGACACTGGTGATGATTGTGACTTTGATGCTTAAGACGATGTTGATGTTGTTTTCGTTGCAGTTGTTGTTATTGTTGATGATGTTGTTGCTGTTGTCGTCGTCGTTGTTGTTGTTGTTGTTGAGGATGTTTTAAAAAAATAAAAAAAAGCCATAATTATCTCAACTAAAACCACCATAAACCACACCATCATCATCAGCCATCATTATCATCATCGTCACACCACCACCATAATCATCACGTCGTCGTCGTCATCATCATCATCAACGCCATCGTCGTCGTCATCACTGTAGTCATATTCGTAATTGACATTCCATTATAAACAACACGACAGATGAAAGCCTGGCTACATCAACAAAATCGACCAACCGCCCTCAAAACATGCTCACCCATGTATATATTTATTAATATTTATAGGTATTTTTTATTTTGGGTTTAGACCATCATGAATACAATTATTTATAAAGATCACTGCGTTTTTGGCATAATTCAACTTATAGTTGAGTTTCTCAAGATTTTTTTAATTTTTTTTTAACTTTTCGTTAGAAAAATTGCGAAACTCAACTACAAGTTGAATAATTTCGAAAACGTAGTGATCTTTATAAATAATTGTAGGTATTTTTTAGTATTTTTGTAGTTTATTTTCCCATTAGCATCAATTAATATCTACCGATATGCCGATATATACCTAACAGTATCTAACACAATATAGTAAGTGTGTTTCAGCATTCTTTGCCGCCTACAATATAAGTAACCTTTAATGTAACCTTTAATGATTGTTATCAATGCAACATAATGTAAATTTAAAACAATGTAATGTAATGTAATGAAATTTAATGTAGTAGTCGTAAGTTAATGATGTGAATTGCATTACAATAATGAAGAGACAATTTTTTTAATTTTTAATAGCATCACGACAGCAATTATTGTTGTATGTAGTAGAAATATTGATAGTACTAATACTAATTTTTGTAGTAACAATCCTGCTGGGTTGGTGTTAGAAATTTTTTTTACTAGCAGGTTAATTGCGGTGTTAGTATTTTAATAGAAATAGCGAGAAATTCTGTCTCGTGAAATTTATTTCCAAAGACGGTATTTTAATTTGCTAGAAGTACGAAATTTATCCATGAATCATTTGCGAATTCTACCAATAGATAATTTATCCTGCAGTTCTTTCTCTTTCTCTATTTATTTCGAGGCGAGGTTCGCTTTGCACTCGGAACTTGGCCTCTGCCATGCGATTGTAGTATAATGACCATAACATACATCACATCATCACACTATTGTTATTTCATTGTTATTGTTGTTGCTATTTTTGTTTCTATTATTATTATTGTTGTTGTTATTATTAATATTATTTTTTTATTGTCTTTAGGTTTTTTATCCCAAACTAATCATTGCCGTGAAGTTATTTTTATACCCCTTTTTCGCTAATACTTAATTTTAAAGACATTAATTTGAGTAGCAGTAGTAGTAGTAGTAGTAGAAGTAGTAAAAGTAATAGTAGATGTAGTAGTAGTAGTAGCAGTGATTGTTTGCCTACGCACAAACTTCAAAAAGCGAAAGAAAGGGCTTCTTTGCACATTAGGAAACTCGTCACCAACAATTTTTTGCCTGTTTTTCCTCTCATAATTACTTTTTTTGTAAGATTTTTGAAAAAATAACAAAAATAATTAGTAATAAATATAGATTTTTAAAAGTATTTTCATTATAATCCTTTCGTAATTAATTTTTTTCTTTCTATAATTACTTTTTTAGTACGGTATTCCTAAATCTATTAGTATTAAGAGCTACGAGATAGTGTAATGGTAAAGGCTTCTGACTCTGTTGTTAAAGCTACCGGATTCGAAAGCAAAGATAT